AAATGACTTTAGTGCTCAAAAATAACTAGCTGGTTCCCAGTTTCTCCATTCCATTTAAGTTCCTCATACAATAGAAGTTGATGTAAGCTAAATATGCGCAACTCCTACCACTGCAGCTGCTAAGTCTAGAAGAAATTCTTTTACTGCTTTCCTGCTTATCCCAACCAAACACCCACAAAAAAAACTTTATTCACATAAAAATACACGTTGCACATTCAACGACTGAACAGATTTCAGATTTGGGAAATCACGCACTGTTGACACAACAAAGCAAACTCACAGATGAAACAGACTATATATAGAAGCACATTCTAAAAACGACATCTGGAACAAACTAACAGTTCCATACACTAACATAAGGGAGGAATGTTCAAATGACCTACTGCCAAAGAGGCAAAAAGGCAAATGGATGAGAGCTTGTGGGGTGCTCAGATACACGTATCACGCAAAAGTTTACGAACCTTCGTGACGTTTTCCACGGTTCGGAATAAAATAAAACTAGGATAGTGTCAGCAAGAAACAAGTGCACAACATCCGTTCGGCAAACACGTCTGAGGTCAAAATAAAATGGACCCATCAAAATCGGTCTAAACCAAAAATCACTAAACTATGCAGGAACAAAAAAAAAATGCTAACTGTATCAGAGAAAAGAGCGTCATCAGCATGGAAAAGCACGGATATAAAGGCAAATGGCACTATACTGCATGCAGAGACCCTGAATGACGATTACTGGTTCATAATAAAGTAGTTCATCTCGTTGCACTCCTCGTGTCCATTCTCAACCACGGAGAGTTTTCCCTGAGGTCCGACTTTGATAAAGCGAGTGGGCCTATAGTTTAGTACTCGATAAGACATATATCGAAGAGCCAGTATAAAACAACATCTGACTGGTTAGTTGAATAATTTTCACTTATTCTAAGACGCCAATGCACAATTGACCCAGAAACTAGAAAAGAATTACTTTGGGCAAGTGGAAGCAGTTGATTCATCGATAATTACAACATCATTCGCTGCATAACTCATGAGCATGGTTGCAAGTGAAGTAGCACCAGGGAGATCCATCTAAAAATTATTATAGATCGGTACCATCGAGAATAGAAGCCCTCAAAATGACATTTTGCCCAAAGCCCTTACTTCAGCTGCATGGATGTTCTTGAAGAAACGCTCAAAACCAATATTTACAGCCCATGGGCTTAGAGTCTGCAAAATAAAATTATTCTAAGAAAAAATCAAATGATTACGACTGATTTGCTCACGCCATGGTTGAGGAAATCCTTGAGAGCGGTAGATACGAAATAAATGACATCCATATTCATGGACGTGATTGCGTCCAAACAAAACTTAAGATAAAAGATTATAAACCCCTAACACAGAGTGCAAGACTGCGAATCCTCTTCACAAAACATGAGATTCTTTGCCACCGAAAACAATTTTTACACCAACTTGGCTAACAAAATTGGCATGAAAAAAGGGAGCGTCACGTCCGGATAAGTCCTCAGCAACATCCTTCGTATCATACTCCGTAGCAAGTTCCGTAGCAAGCTTCTCCACAGCCTCTAGGAGAGCTAAAACAGAATATTTCATTGATAGGCAGCGAAATTGAACAAAGAGTCTTCCTCAACTTAATGCAATGCTAGCCACTGTGATTATATGATTTCTAACTCAAAAACATGCTTTTCGTCGAAGTGGCAAGCCAACTGAAAGCTGGAATTGGAATAAACTGGAACAGTTTAAAAGGAAAGCATAGAACCCAGCGGTCTTCACATTTTCAAAGAAATGAGAACTCAACAGGGTGTTAACTAGTTTATAAAGAAGCATTGGCTTCCAAAAGAGACGCAGTAATTGCTAAGTCAACTATATGCGGCTACAAACAGCAGGAAGTGCCGAATTAATGAATCTCTCCTTCTCTTCGAAGTAAAATAGTACGAATTTAACACCTTTCTGCAGCCTCTGGAGCGCATATTATGGGTTGTAGCAGAGAGCAGAAGATAGTGCACTACATTGGGGAGTGCGAAAGCAAGGAAATTATATGTCTCCAAACTTCCATAATAAATGCTCTACAACTCCTCAAAAACCAGGTGACCAGCACATTCAATAGACTAGAGCTATGGAACTGCAAAACGTAAAGTGACTGGGAGAACTGTTTTGTAGGTGAAAGCACAGAACTACAGAGCAAAATTCCCTTGATTTCATAAGAACGAGCGCTTCCCTTTATAAATGTGGCAAAAGCTACGAAAAGATTTGATTCTCTCAAAAAATAGATAGATAGGAATACCGAAGGGTATGGATTTGAGAGAAAGGTAGACGGCTGTTACGGAAATTTGTTTAACAAAAAATTTCTGTACGATTATGAAGAATGAAAGACAACTAAGTGGGATAACCAGAAACGGCTCGAGAGGTTCATAGACAGACATCTTCCGGGATTTAAATTAAAAAAAAGAACATCACTTTAAATGCTGAGAAGAGGCCCTTTCTAGCAGAATTAACAAATGTGCGGTAGCTTCCGAAATAAAAAGGGAAAATTTAAATAATGGGACTACTATCCTATTACCTTGAAAATCAGAAAGTACTCTTACCTTTAGCACTCCAATCTTTGGGACGGCTTACAGTCGCAGCACTGAGAAGTTCCCAACCGTGATCCCTATTCTGCGCACTTTAAAAAACAAATGAAGTTGAAACTCAAGAAAGAATAAAAGTAAAACCGACCACTCAACATAATTGATAACACTAGAACTTTTGAGAAGACCCTGCTGCATCAGTCTAGCAACGGCAGACACAAGACGATACTCCAATTTGGGATCATCTACGATTTCTGCTCTCTTCTTAAAGCAATTCAACATTGGTAATCTGCAAGCAGAACTATTGATTTATTACGTTGCAGATGGAGGAAACCGCGTCGTGAAGGAGCTTGACACGACCAGTTTCATCGTACTCCTCAGAAAATAAATCAGCAAGCGACTGCTCGCTGAATCCATCATCATTCGGAGACAACGAGGCAAGCAGTACGTCTCTTACACGAGTCACCTGGGTAGAACTTCGACATTACGAACATGGAAGATATATACTGTGCCTCTACATACCTGATCAGTCCTTGTTTTGACATTTGCTGAATCGTTGCTGGCCTCACTGTCGGACTCCATCGAGCCGAAACCCATGGATCGCGAGGAATTGGATCCTCTGAAGTGCAACAACCTACTTTTGCTTCATGGAATCAAGCAGAGTGAAACTCAATGAGTATATCTGCATCTATAAATTCTATGCAGGCAATCTGAATCCGTTGAGGGTAGTAGGTGTGAGATGGAAGCCCACATAAATTTATTCAAGGCTAACATAAACCTATTTCAAAGCAAACTCCTACGATTACTAATTTACATTAACAAAAACATAGCGTTCATATGAGCTGTTTCATTTCCACAACATTTTCGCAATCTAACTCCAACTAAGGTTGGCGATTTTGAGTTCCAGGCTATTCGCATCAATAAAAACTAAAGAAACTCTCAACTCAAAAAAAGAAACAGGTTGAAAACACACCTAGGAGGCTTGCAGAACTCATTATAGACATCTTGCTCTATGTCTTCCGTGTGCTCATCAACGTCTTCGTCGAAAATATACTCGTCGAGGCCCATATCAAATCGACCACCTGAAATAAATGACGGCCGTTTTGACCGACAGGGATAACAGTGAAGAAAGCTAAGCTAAAAAAGCGAAGCCCACCATCCTTTTTGATGGAAGAACCGCTGATGCCACGGTTGCGCTTCTTGCGCAAAGCTTTCGCTTCCTTCGGATGCTTGGAAGTTGGCC